AAGATTTATTTATTTGTGCATACAGAACTGGGGTACAGGCCAGAGGCTCAGGAGTGGTGAGAGGCTTCACCAGAGACAGAGAGGGGAACACAACAGGCAGATCGACGAAGTACACTGCTGAGGGGAGCAGCGGGACACACACCCTTTTTAAAAAAGAAAAGAAAACCAGATTCTGGCTTGTTTAAAAAGAAAAAAAAAAAGTATGTGATAAATGATTTGTTTCAAACCTTTCAGAGCTTCTGAGGGTATCATTCACTTGGAAACATTCAATTATTCAGTAAAGAGACCAGATCAAATCTAATGGACCCAGGATAGATGCTTCCAGGCCATGTTTTGCAACATGTGGCATGCAAATACGTTCATTTAACCTTCCAGAGTTTTAAATATTTAGAAATTTCACATACAAACATAGCCCACACCCATAGTTTTGTTTTTTTCTAGGGAAAAAGTTTCAGAAGCTCAGGAGTCATGAATGGCTGTCCCCCTTAGATGGGGCATATTTCCCTATTTTGCCACACTCCTCACTACTCCCCATTTTTTTGCCCTTCATCCTTTCACTCTACCTACTTTGCCCGAGTAACCAGTTAGATCTGCGAGCTCAGTGCAGATCAAGGAGTCTAATTTAAATTCTTGATTCTGGGGAAAGTTAGATGCTAGACAAGAAGGAAGGTTCTGGGAAGAGGTGGCTACTTGGGCCTACCTTGAAAGAGTTACCCAAACGGAATGCTACTTTGGAATGCTCCTCACTCATCAGCCCTATCAAAGCTTCTTTTTCTGAGCTAGATGCTTTCTTGTTTGCTCTCGCCCCTAGCTGCGTGTGTGTGGAATGTTATCACTAAGATATAAGGCATCAAAACAACCCAGACTGGCAGGATGACCAGGCAAAGCCAGCACGAGTGCAGGGCTCAGAAAGGAGGAGCAAGAAGAAAACAAAGGGCTCACTCACGCCCTCCTGGGAGCTTGGCTCCCCGAGGCCAGACATGGAGGTGCAGGGAGAGATAAAATTAAGCTGCTTATACAGATTTAGAGGCCTAGGACAGCCTCACTGATCCCCAGTACCAGGGAGATCTAACAGTCAAATCTTTTGCCCACTCTCTTTGGGAGGAAGAGTGGCATCTACGCAGCTTAGTCTGCCTTCCATGAAAGGATCTCTGGTCTTTCTGGTACGTGGATAAGAACTGGAAGGCAGTTAAAACAGAAAACACTCTGATGGAGCAAACAGAGAGTAAGCAATTACTAAAGAGGGGTTCAGCAGTTCTGTAAGAAGTGTGCAACACAGACTTCCTCCCTTCCCCTGGAGGACTGCTCCTCCCTTCTGCGTCAAGGTCGCTTGTGGAGTCCTGGCTTGTCTGCAGTGGTTTACCTGCTGAGTGAAAGGAGATGATAATGCAGCATCACCTCCAGAGACCACAGCTTAGTGTGGAGACTTCTGCTCAGGTCTTTCATTGGTCATTTTTGCTTCCACCTGTATACCAGCACTAAGCTTGCCCTCATTCTGTTGATGCGGGTACTGAGGGTCAGAGAGGTAATAGACTTGACCAAGGTCACCCAGCAGTAAGTGAAGCACCAAGCTGGCTGACTCCAAAGCTCATCTTTCATCCATTCCATAAAATCCGCATCCTCTTTTCCCAGCCTAATGGACAATGTCCTCTGTCTCTGGGGAGTGACTATTTGTGCCAGCTCTGGAATATGCCTGGGTGCACTTCAGGTAGCCAGAGGTGTGGTTAGTTCACATAAAGGCACCAGGAGTGCTGCTGATACTTAGGAAGGAACTGGCACCAGCTAGAACACTTTTAAGGATGTTCACCCAACTGCCGCTGGCATGAAACGGCAGGGTTTTTGCCAAGCGGCTTAGCCCTCTGCAAAGGACTGCAGCTTTCCGGGGCCATTGACTAAATGCCCATCTGGGATCTGGAAGGCTGTGTAATATATTCCTCTCACCCTGAATTCTCACTTTACGCTGGGCCGACCAGGAGACAGTGATGGAGCAGAGAGAGCACATCATGGGGAAGGTGGGCACTCTGGCTACCTCACCTGCTGAGTGAAAGGAGGATGGTGACATAGAGACCACAGCTCAGTGTGGAGATTTCTGCCAGCATGCAACTTGGATGCCCCAGATAGGTCTTAGTTTGACCCGTGGTTGGATCCAGTGGGTTAGGGGCTAGGAATATATAGTGTTCATGATGATTTCCCCAGAAGCAGATCCAATCATCGTTTGAGGCCATGTGCTCCCAAGAGCTATCTCCCAAAGGAACTTCAGAGGTCATATAAATAGAGAGAGAGGGAGAGGTTGAGATGACTGGGCCAGATATACAGCAGCAGCCTCAGAACTGAACAGATAAGAAGCTGGGCCTACCTAACAGATAGCATGCTAGGTCAGGAACTGCAGGTAGCAATCTAGGTCATACCTGTCAGGCAATAAGCTAGGTCATACCTGACAGGTAATTTGCTAGGTAATACTCAACAGGCAGTAAGCATTACATAGGTATTTCCCAAATACCTTGCAAACATTAACTCATTGGATCTCCCCCAAAGCCCTACAAGGAAAGCAACTGTTCCCTCCATCTGACAGATGACACCTCTAGGACTCAGAAAGCTTAGGCATCTTTGGCCAATGCTGTACAACTAAGTGGTAGATGGAACTTTGGTTCTATCTGAGTCTAAAGACTTCACTCCCCATCATGCCACCCTGGTGCCAGTCCTGCTCTTGCTAAGGGATGCAGGAATTAGCCAGTGTTTAGGGGAGGAGGTGAAGGATGCTCGGCAGCCACTCCAGCTGAGTTAGTGATGATTCTGCGAGAAAATATAGCAAAAAGAGGTGGGCTCTCTTCAGAGGGAATGCAGGAGGACGGTACAACCCCGAGAGGGAGTACAGGCACGTTACCTTCTAAAGTTGTTTCCAAGTGTTAGTTCTGGGAGGCCCTTTGCCCCCACCCTGCTCCAATCACTCTTGGCTTCCACATATGTTCCGCGTCAACAAGTATTAGCACTCAGCCATTGACCAACCAGCATAATGATGCTTCTGAGAGAGAATCTGTCCCAGAAGCTACTGCCGTAGGAAGAGTAAGG